AATGTTCGGAAAGTCATTAGAAATGAAATGTATACGTTTGAAACTCATGAAAAGTTGGGGAACATTGTTAAAAGAATTTGAAAAGATTTGAGAAACATGTTTCTCGCTTGCAGATGGAAATGTAAAGATTTTAGAGAAAAAGAGGTCAAATAAAAAATTTAGATATTAGAAATACCTACAAACTGAGATATAGTACGTTAAAATCGGTCCACACGTTAAGTTGCAAAAGAAATAAAACTTTCGAAATGGGATGTTTTCAATTGTTTAATACTCGAAGGGATTTGACCATAGAGATTTGACATTTTAAGAGAATATGGTCATTACGGCTAAGAAATGTGGCAAATTTCAGCATTCAATATTTATTCGTTTTTACAAAAAGTCATTTACTTATCCGAAAAGCGTCCTCGGAAAAGTTAATTTCTACATCTTTGGCAAGTCGGACAGCAACCAGAGGGTGTATTTTTTACAACTGGAGAGTTGTACTATCATGTATACATCCAGATGAAGTGAATTTTTTAAATTAAACCACGTAAATATGGTTCCAAAGTATGGGTATCTTTTTTTCTCGTAAACAATTTGAATATCTTCTTCAATTTCAACTGTATCGAATTGCTGTATAGGCCATTCGATAACTGCTATGTTTATACACATTTTAAAATAAAATATTTCACTCTATATTAACTAAGAGCAGAGATAATTTTTTTTTAAATCACTGTAGCGTCACTTGTCAACATTAAGAGTTCAAATTAGGACGAAATCTGGAGGAAGAGTTGAATTATCTGTTATTTAATTTTCGAATTAATCCATTCAGATACTTCTCTGATATAGATCAACAAAGTACCGGTATGCGAATGAGACAGCGCACGGGAGCAGAGTGGTGAGAGCTGGCCGTGCCAATGAGCTCGAGACCCCGAAACTGATCTCGTGCGTTCTATTGTATTTGGCGCAGTCAGACAAATTTAGGTTTTCTCTCCAACAAATGACCGTAGAACGATGATTTTTTTAATTTGGGGTAGCTCGACGAGGTATTAACAAATAGCGTGGTCAATTTTTAAAAAAGTTAATGTAAACCCAAAATTTTTACTTCTTTGATTTTTTATATATTATTTTTTATATGTAAGTTGTAAAAAACGAGTTCTGTTCTTCAATTTAAAAAATGTGTAACTTTCAGATTTATCTGTTTTATTGCGAATCCTTCTCATCAATATTATTTATATTATTCAAAATAGCATACATGAATAAGCGACGAATTAAGTAATTGTGACAAAGTCAGCAATAACTTGAGTAAATGCAAATTTAATTTTAGATCAATGTGTGCTTAATTTTGGTTGCATTTGTAAGGATCGCGTAACGGTACGGCGATTAAGTGCGAGCATTGCGCGATCTAAGGGCAGGTCCAAGTCTGTGCAACGCGCATTGCAGAACACACTTGAAAGGGTCGATTTTAATGGCTCGACGCGCAGCTGACGACTCATAAAATTAAATAAAAATAAAATTAAATTTATATTTACTTAAGCTATTGCTGACTTTGTCACAATTACTTAATTCGTGGCTTATTCATGTATGCTATTTTGAATAATATAAATAATATTGATGAGAAGGATTTGCAATAAAACAGATAAATCTGAAACTTGCACATTTTTTAAATTGAAAGAACAGAACTTGTTTTATACAACTTACATGTGTAGGTCGCATATATATTCAGCATTTAAACACCAACTATGCTTAATAGACGAAACGAATCAATTTAAAATATAAAAAAATCAAAGAAGTAAAAATGTTGGGTTTACATTAACCTTTTTTAAAAATTGGCCACGCTATTGGTTAATACCTCGTCGAGCTAACCCAAATTAAAAAAAATCATCGTTCTACGGTCATTTGTTGCAGAGAAACCCTAAATTTTTTCGATTGCGCCAGATATCTCGACACCATTCTGCAGCTCTCCCCACTCCGCTCCCGTGCGCTGTCTCATTCGCATACCGGTACTTTGTTGATCTCTATCAGAGAAGTCTCTGAATGAATTAATTCGAAAATTAAATAACAGATAATTCAACTCTTCCTACAGACTTCGTTCAAATTTTAACTCTTAATGTTGCAAAGTGACGCTACAGTGACTTAAAAAAAAATTATCTCGGCTCTTAGTTTATATAGAGTGAAATATTTTATTTTAAAATGTGTATAAACATAGCAGTTATCGAATGGCCTATACAGCAATTCGATACAGTCGAAATTGAAGAAGATATTCAAATTGATTACGAGAAAAAAAGATACCCATACTTTGGAACCATATTTACGTGGTTTAATTTAAAAAACTCACATCATCTGGATGTGTACATGATAGTACAACTCTCCAGTTATAAAAAATACACCCTCTGGTTGCTGTCCGACTTGCCAAAGATGTAGAAATTAACTTTCCGAGCACGCTTTTCGGATAAGTAAATGACTTTTTGTAAAAACGAATAAATATCTTAAAATGTCAAATCTCTATGGTCAAATCCCTTCGAGTATTAAACCATTGAAAACATCCCATTCCGACAGTTTTATTTCTTTTGCAACTTAATGTTTGGACCGATTTTAACGTACTATATCTCAGTTTGTAGGTATTTCTAATATCTAAATTTTCTATTTGACCTCTTTTTCTCTAAAATCTTTATATTTCCTTCTGCAAGCGAAAAACATGTTTCTCTAATCTTTTCGCATTCTTTTAACAATGTTCCCCAAATTTTCATGAGTCTCAAACGTATACATTTCATTTCTAATGACTTTCCGAACATTTTCATGTAAAAACATAGCTATTGAAAGTTATTTTTTATGGTAACATACGTCATTTCGTACTATTGCAAGAATTTTTTCTAAAGCTGTCTGTAATATCCAATGTCCAATACGAATCGTAGGATCACATTAAACCTATCTACTCGCTAAAATCCACAAGGGCTTATCAAGAACCTCCCTATAGGATTGTCAAGGAAAGAGGGTGAATGCGTTTTTATACAAATTCGCCTGTAACTATCACCCAGACGCGCGCACACAAGAACCACAATTTTCCCTTCCGCGAATGTTCTATTACGTCCCAGCCACCGCGCGTCATTCAAACTTTGAATGTATTATACAGGCATATAAACATAAACACAACGCTACGGAAACACGCAGAAGCACATTGTACTAAACAGAAATGCGAAATCACGTAGAAAAACTTTACAACTATCCATACAAAACAGTCAACTACAAAGCATAAACACACTCACAATACATGTTTCAAATGCGGATCTCTTTCTTCTATATACAATCGTATATGATTGCACAAAGATAAGAAAAACAGTAGGTTTACGTTTGAAAAAAACATTAATTTTGAATTAAAAATTCAAGAAGAGTTATTCAATATATGTATTAAATTATCTAGTCTTTAAACTTTAAATGAAGGACTTCTCGAAATATTGGTTTAAAGTTCGATTTTTGACAAAAATGTCACTCGTTTTTTACCAGTAAAAAGAAAAATATCCATCTACAAAAATGTCCTTCATTCAAAGATTAGATAGTTTAATATAATAAAGAAATCTTTTTAAATTTTGAATTTCTGATGATTTAGTACCGAGCAGCAATGGTCACCGCAAAACACCTTTTTTTTAAAGGACCTCCGAAACATCGGCCACAACTATGTTATTCATACATATCTTTATATCCCAAAATTCTGAGATACTTTCTAAAATACATTATTTCAAATACGACAATATTTTTTTAAAAAGGTGTTACAGTTCTTGAGAAAAAAATGTCGAATAATTACTCACTATTTCGGTCTCCGGACTAGACATAACCTCTTAATATAAAAAATTAACAATTTTGGAAAAGTGATATTTTTCAGGAAGTCTATTTTTTTGACAAAAACTGTACGTGGTAGGAAAATTGTGATTGCAGAACTGTATGCAGCACACCAATATCTATACAATGCACTTATTTTGTCCTGAATAGGGGTTTTAAAATTATTTAAAAAAAAATTGTTTAAAATCTTCAGTGTCTTCTATTTCATTTATTTATTACAAGTCTGTACTTAATAACTACCTAAGGCCAAGAATTGTTGTTGGATCTTTGGAGAGCTTATTAGTGGAGAACCATCCTGTGCTTGGTAAATGCCGGTAACCACAAAGAAATTAGAGTACTTGGACGACCCCACGGGTTGACCACATGTAATTACTTAGAGAAGCGTGTGACAGTTACAAATGACACAGTGCTTGATTAATATCGATAGCTACTAGGAAATTGGGAATCGTGAACGCCTCAACTGGAGAATCTAGTAGACAACCATTTAGGATTAAAGTTTCGTAACTTAACAAGTTACCATCAAATTTGTAAGTAAACACTTCAACATAAATATTATGTGTTCTTCTAAATCGTCTTTTAACAATTTAAGAAATTTGTAAACAAGTCATGATACTTTCATTTTGATTGAATGTGACCAATCTTCCTATTCTTACATTCCTGTTGAATTATCAACTATTAAAACGAATATACAGGATGCATGCGTTCAAATTCAAGACTCCGATATGCAACATTAGATGCATACTGTTGTGACGTTTGAAGCCACGAAGCTGGCTTCGCGTTATAACTGAAGATGCCTCTGACTTCGAGGATCGATTTGTGGATCGGTCAGTCAACCGCGGATATTTATAAAGAGAGTCTCCGAAATGACATGAAAAAGAACGAATGTACTACATTTAACTTTGTGGTGGAACACCACAGCGTAACAATATGTATGCATGTATATGCAATAATTCATACATATTAAGTCCAATTCTTGAAACTCCAATAATCTTATTCGAAAATGTTATTTTCAATAAAAGATTATCATGAAACCATTTATTAGTTATGTGTTAATAGAAACTAAACACTTATGAAGATACGTGTTACAAAATATTACCGCACGCACCAAAGTTTAACCTGTGTTTTATATGTTTATTTTCTAAATAGATTGTATGTCTATAAAATTATACTATGTTTATTCTTACCTGTGCAAGTACTCCTTTTGAATTGGAAGTATATGCTGTTAGAACGCTATTATCACCTGGAGTGATGTCTTTTTCTTCCTTCTGCGCGTTATTATTTTCAATGTCTTCACAAACATTCTCGACTTCAGTCACTTTAGCATAATTGACACTGTGGTAACCCAACATCGAATGATGCTCTTCACTAATGTAACGTTAACATGTAAATATATTAAATTTCACAAACAATATGGTAAATAACAATAGTTACATATTCCTATTCTTTTTTCTACCAAGGGAACATCCCGAATCGCCGATTTTGATAAAACTCTGTGAGATTGTAGTTCTCATAAAAATATTTGACATGTATTTTGTTTTAGCTGCTCTTATCCACGTAGAAGGAGTGAAAAAATCCACAAACGTAGGAGTTTGAACTTTATTCGGTTGAGTATATCGGAAACTATTAGAGATATCAAGACGGTATAAATTGTAACATTGCGTTTTTTCTTTATAAGAAATCCGGCTATAGGATTAGATTTCAAAATAATCATTTGTTTAAACAATACATTTAAAAAATAGCACTTGTTAACTTTTCTGGTGAAAACTTCATTCATTTTCTTATACATTTGTATTTATGAAAACAATATGGCCAAATATAAAATATTGATAAACTGGAATTTGGATTTCCAACGAAATTTTGAATTTTGAATTCAACAAGGATTTTAACCAACTTATTAAATATTCAAAGTAACTTTAATTCATCTGTCTATTTAATAAAGGTGTTACAATCGTGAATTGGTCGAGCATCGCTTGTTCGTTACCACCTTACTTATGTACCTCTTACGCCGACTTACGGTAGTGATTGAAGACTTACGGCAGTAATTTGAACCATTTGAGGATTTAACTATTGAGTAATCTAAAAATCCTAAAAGTGTACTATCTGTTCGATTATACGCATTCAAGTACTCTACCTTACCGAAAATGCGAAAAAACTTCAAATATAATAACATTTTTAATAATGCAGAAATCAAAATTCCAGTTTATCCGTATACTATATTTAAGGATATAGTTTTCAAATAGAAATGGATTAACATTTGACCAGGAAGATTAACAAAAAGTGCTATTTTTTAAATGTATTGTTTAAACAAATGCATTATTCTGGGATCCAACCATATAGCTGGATTCCTTATCAAAAAACGTAAAATAGTGCAATTCAAACCGTTCTTATATCTCTAATAGTTTCCGAAATATTCGACTGAATACAATTCACTCTCCTAATTTGAGGGCTGTTTTCACTCTTTCAACGTAGATAAAAGTAGCTAAAACAAAATACGTGTCGAATAATTTTATGAAAACTCCAATACACATAGAGTTTCATCAAAATCGATTAAATTATGACGTAGTACACACCTAGTTGTTTAATGCTTGTACAAAGTTTAACGAAAAATTGTATTTCTTTAATGTTATGATTGTGTGCTAATTACGATCAGAGTATACATATACTCGAGAATAGGGTATATAATACACATTATCATAAGAAATTTCCACTATGATAAATTGCTCGTACAGTGTGGGTGAATGAAGACGTAATAATAGATTAATTCCATAAAATTCGAGAAATTCTGAATGATTATGGGCGTCTGTATATGAAATATATACGAAACTCGTAAGTATAGATGAAGAATAAAATATATAATCGACAAAGGTTCAATTTACTTCACTAAAAAATTGTAGGTACGTCATTGCAAAGAAAAATGAATGCACCTGCATACATACGTCTACATTAATTGATTTACAAATTAAAACGAATTTAGAAAGAGAAAATTAACACAAGCGAACATATGTTATCATCAACCTACCACATTTTAAAATAAAACATTTTAAATGGAGGTCTACTAAACAAAAGATCATCTTACTATTAGTATCTTCTGGTAAACTGTTGTCTCAAAAAATGTGTAGGGAGAGATAGACAATTGCAAGAGGTGAACACGCCACAGCAGAAAATTCGGTAAAACTTACATTTGGGGCAAGTAGCTCCGATGACCTTGACCTTGACATATGTTGTCAAGTACACTCTCCTCAGTAAATCCGAAAAGGTTTTAGACATCGTTCATTATTTCTTAAGGAGGGAGACTCCTTTGGGGCCAACTCCGAATCGATCGAAGCGCGGATGTAAACAATCGGACGCCAGCGGAAACACAAAATCGATATTTGGGACGGCTTGATAATACGAGATCTAGCGGCAGTACCCACAAATAAATTTTGTTCCCCGTTACCATCAAGCTGGGTTTGTGTATTTCCTACGCGAAGACAGTGTTGCCGGACAGTATCGTTTTTCTGACGCTGTTGCCTCATGTCCCGCATGCAATTCTACCTGTGAGGAGAACGATGGAATAGCTACGGCCTACGGCTCGTGGCGAGATTTCGATTCTCGCCGAACGTCCAAGGCCAGCGACCGACCCATCGGCATACAATGTAAACAGACGTAGATGAGATAAGGAATGACGCACGAATGAAAATTTAAACTTTTACAATTTGCAATATATTTTAATGAAAATGTCATGAATGAATTGAAGAAATTCTCCCGATTAAAATGCGTCCAAATTCGAGTGTAATTGGACAATTGTTACTCATACGTAATGTTGCGGATGAAAATGATATATTATTGAAAATAATCCGAATGATGTCGTATTTGGACTCATTTCCACCGACAGAATCTCCTCAGTTCATTCGTGACACTTTAATGAATGTATACTGAAAACTATAAAAGATTAAATTTGCATTCATGCGTTTCATTCCTTATCTGTTTACATTGTATTTCGATCGTCAGTCGCTGGCCTCTCGCCCGGCGCTCAACAGCCCATTTATTCCTGCTGGCCAAAGTTAGTCGAAGGAACAGTCAAGCGACAATGTTCTTTAGCTAACGATGAGCTGAGGCAGACAAAAAAGTTTAAAAAGCCGCAAATCGATGTGATTCATATTGCACTATCCAAAATTCTATGCTGCTTATTTATTCACGGTATATTACAGTCTAGTCTGTATATACGAACTAAAATATGATTTGCAATATGAAACTGCCCGCGCGAGAGCGGGTACGTCAGCTAGTTATCCATAAAATGATTTGAATGTTTATGAGAAGTTAAAGATTAGTCTAGATAATTAAGTTTTAATGATTTAATTGTAATTAGTTGTTTCACAATGTACAGGGAAATGTTTGACAAAACACGCACAAAAATAGTAACAGACACTTTTTTCAACTTTTTTATCTTAGCCTATAATGAACATTCGAAATATGCCTCTTGTAGACTTATATATCTAAGAAAAAGAAAAGTGAAGCTGCGATGTTACAGTTTCCTTATTGCCATGACTAAGTATATCATTACTATCTATGTATATATATCAATAATACTGCTTAATAACAATAGTGAAATCGAAAGCTGGTTTTATGACCATTCTAGTCGACGTTCAACGAAACAGTATTCCTGTCTCTTCGTTTTCGATCGACACCCGATGGTGACTTTCAGAGTGACCTAGGTCAGGCCACCATTATCGGGCCCAGTCATAACAAAATTCGTCGGTCAAAGCAAAGAAGCTACGAGCACCGAAGTAGTAAAAAATCTTCAGGTTTATAAGTCGAAAGTACGAGTTTTTTAGTTTTGTAACTTATTTGTAACTCTAACTTGTAAGTCTAACCACTTTTAATAGTTTGTAACTTATACCCTGCAATTTTCAGCGTGTATGTATCTTAATTAAGTGTATAAGAGGTATTTGTTAAATTTTCACTATAGGATCAGAAAAAAAATGAAAAAAGAACTTCTTAATATTTTTACTATTTTCTTCGCTATTCCAACAATTGTAATGTTTTCGAAATAACGAAAACATGTCATCTAATAAGTTAATCCTTCTAGCTTCTCAAAAAAACTCAAGTCGTTTGGTCCAATTTTTAAAACAAAATACGTACTGGAACAGGTGCAGACGCAGCGAAGATGATACGCTAAGTACGCATGCGACAGCAATCAGTTGTTAGTACAAAATCTATCTCCGCTGGGCGACGAATGAAAGATTGACAGAGCGTATGCGATTAATTGTGTTCCTTTTGTGTCTCTTTTATGAAATATTTGTGTAAGTATATAACACCTGCGTCAATTATGTCAATAAAAAATAAATAAATATCATTTCCAACAAGAGATTTGTATAGTATTCCATGTTTTTCGTATGTGGAATACCCGGAATATATATTGTGCCATTTTTACAATTTGTTTCTCGAGAATATCATGTCAAGTATCTCGTATGTAATTTCATTAATTAAAAAAATAAGCATCATTGCAAGTACGAATAAGAAGGTTCATCCTTGCACACATTAGTACGTATTGTTTAATTCTCGGATTTCTTTCCCTCGCGTCGTTCTTTTCCTACGTTCCGCGAGAATCGAAATCTCGCCACGAGCCGTAGGCCGTAGCTGTTCCATCGTTCTCCTGACGGGCAGAATTGTCGAATGGCAACAGCGTAACAAAACAATCGATACGATCCACCACGTGTTGCGAGGTTACATTTACCGACTCCCTCTGTTTTATCGATGCTCGTGGTAACGCAGGCCAAAGTGACTGACAAATACCATAAACGTCTCTATCGGAGAATCCTTGAACTATACCACTGTTTACTTCTGTGTCTGGATGCGTCGAATCGTAAATTCCAACTTCTGCGTTCCAGAAGTGATACAGTGACAAAAATTGGATTTCTACGATAGTGTGATAGTGGTGTGCAGGGTGGTCTGGTCTGCGTTTGACGAGAAAACCATTAAATCGTGAGATATTTGACAAAATGTGACTTGTGCAGCCATCTTGTGTGTTTTCATCGGCGTCTGTCACAATCGCACACTTTCTAAAATTCTAATTCTTTCAATTAAAATGTGTTTATTGGTGTTTATACGGACCAGACCACCCTGTAGGGAAGTCTACCCGTGAAAAGTTCATTTGTGCAATTGTTCAGACAGAAGTTGGAATTTACGAAATCGATTGTTTCTCTTGCACATCGCATATACATACACGGTTCCCGTTGATTGTGTGAGTGCACGGACACAGCGCACGCTCCACTGAGTCTCCCCCCTTAAACAGTTATTAATTTGTAAATGTATGAGATTTTTCAAGCGAATTTCACTCTAGCAAGGATGAATTTGGGAAAGTTTACATAACGCAATGTGAGGATATACAGAGTATTGGAATTTGGTTATCAAAATAACACCACCCAACCTCTCAGCAGAACGAAAAATATATATTTGTAAAAAAAAAATACAAACAGCGTCAATTAACATAGTCTACACGTGACACGCACCATAGAACATTGTAACGAACGACGACGCGACGAAGAAGAAGAAGGAAAAGAAGTAAAGCACGTGAAAAAGTAGCGAGTCGTCGGTGCGTGTCGATGTAGACTGTAACGTCGCATAGCGACGCACCAAACGAACTATATACCCCCATAACCTTGTTATGGGTAACTTCAACAAAGAGCTTGTATGTACCGTCGGTTACGGTGGTCGATTTAAAAAAAAACTAACCCAAAGCTACCCAGTACCAATTATCCAGCTGTCCAGGAATTAATACTCTCATGAGTTAGGTTTGGGTTAGGTTGGATCGATATTGCAGGGCTGTTGAGATAGCTACCGGCGTTATGAGCCACAGCTGGGCCTTGGGGGGGAAATCGCACTTCCCCTCTCCCGGGAGATCGTGTACTACTACTACTACTACTACTACTACTACTAGGTTGGATCGAGGGCGGCAGATTTAGGGGATTCTTCCACCCCGGGATGGTGGAAGGATGTCCAGATAGATCCGAGAGTAATTAAGCATGTTGTCGTTGCTCGGAGAAGTCTGGAAGCCCCGAAAATCACACCCTCTCGCCTCCACGTGGTGCCGCCTGGGATCCCGTCGGGAGAATCGACTCCTGACGGGATGCGAAAGAGAGGGTGACCTTCATCGAGTATGTTCACAAGAGTGTGTTTCTTTGTACTAGGGAAAACATCGGATCGGAGATAGGCGGAAATGGAGGGAGGACACTGACTACGGGAGGAAAGGAGAAGGAGCACTGGACAGGCGGGGAGCGGCCGAACACGGAGGAATGGAGATGGAGTAAGGGTAAGCCAAAAATTGCCCAAGTACACAGATATAGGACGTGAATCCGGCCTCATAAGAGGATGGCACGCAAGGGATACGGATTGGGAATAGAGAGAGTGGGACTAATGTTTGTCTCGAAGCTCGATCTATGTAGACCGTCCGTGAAGAGGAAGGGTGTAGGGCGGGAGGATTCGGTGACTCCTACCCAGGCACAATACTCCCTCTCAGTCCCCCCCTGAACCCGGGAGGTCAACCGGATCATCCTCCGGGAATCCTCAAAGGTGACGGGATAGGATGCCATAGGATTCATGTCCAAAAAAAGTAGACTCTAACGTGGATCCAGCCCGTACGTGCGGGGTGTTGGGATACGAGTCGGGAGGGTAAAAGCAGACAGGGGGTTGTAAGCCTGCCGACGTGCTTCCCGAAGACCACTCGTGAAGAGGCAACACGGGGGAAAAGACAGATGGGGAACCCTGTCAACTCCAGCCGCATTTCGCCTCTCAGTCCCCGCCGTGACCCCAGGACGACGGAAAACTCTTTCTTAGAGCCAGTACCCTCCACGGGAAGTCACGGTGACAAAGCACAGGATCCGCGGAGGACAACGGACCGGGTGGGTTCCGGGAGGTAGCCTGGGAGTGGCAAGGGCCCGGAACCCGAGGACCGTCCGTGGAATGGGGAGGTAGAGGTATCCGTCTATGGGCGGTATACCAGACGCATATTCCCCCTTCGTCCTCGTCTTAACATAAGATAGGAATTGGGGAGTCCGATCGCGGACGTTAGCACGGGCATGCGTACACCGAACGCACACACAAACACCGGCTCGTGATGACGTTCCGCGGGCAAAGGACACCGATACCGGTTAGTTTACGGGGTAGCGGTTAAGGACGCGCGGTCACACACTGGTTTTTGGTGGTCTTCCGAACGGGCGCCATAGAAACAGAGACAGGACACCAATCACCAGGATCGCTCAATCGGGCCCGAGGGAAGGTGGGTTATGGGACGTTCCATGGTGTATAACTCTTCGGAGGCCTGGTCGTCCCGCTTGATTAGTTTTTACGCGACGGGGCCCGATTGCGATACCGGATAGCGGGGCGTATACTGGCGAACCGAGTCCCGGAAGCATGAAGAGCATGTCTTTGCGGGACAACGGCCCAACGAGCCCCGCGGATATCGTAATCCGGAAGGCAGTTCCTTACGAACGAAGCGCCGGACGTAAGGTATGGCATTACCGAAAACAGGCCTCACGTGCCGGTAAACAACCGTGACCCCGGAACACATATGTCGACGGGTCACGGGGGCGTTTGGCACACGCTGCAACGATCCGTGGTACGCCGGAGAGAGAGAGCGTCGACCATTAGGGAGGGGCGAGTTTCGCGACCCAGAACGCGAACGCTGGTCCCTGATGAAACTGATATTTACTCTTCGGAGAAATTTCGGCGAAGTCCGGTGGGCTACCGTCTCGCGTCGCGTTCCTTGCAGACTCTAGGGAGGGGGGAGGGCGCGATCTACTCTACCTCGTTTTCCACTGTATTAAATTCACATACCCAGCTTTAGAATTTAGACTAGATTCACATTGGCGGTGGATTCATTTATGGTCCACCGCGGCTCCCAGGGGAGGTGATCGCCGAACCCGACCACGTCTCTCCTTGAGGTCGGCTAGAACGGCCTCCCCATGTATCTCTGTTGGAGTCCCGGGACTCCCTCCCTGTCCTTGTGGGGGGTGGTAGATTTGTGAGGGGTACCAGAGGAGGGGGGGCTCCTGAACTATTCGGGACATAGGTAGGTAGAGCAATAGGGGGTTGAAACAGGCGACACAGCTCGGGGACACGAGGGCTGGAAGGGTCTCGTCCGGGCACGTCGCCTGGGCGAGAACTCCGATGGAGCTGATGTTCCACCAACACCCGGGCGAGCTTGCTCGTCCGGTGCGGGGAATTTCGGCGAAGTTGGGGGCTCGACCGGCTCAAAGTCCACTCACCGCACCTCCACGTGGGGTCCCCGGGTCTCCGCCTCAGTAGCTGGAACCGCTTTGCGGGCACCAGATTGCTGAGTGCGGAGGGCGAACGCGGTGAGCTGGCGCACGATGGGGAGGACTCCATTCTCAACCAACATGATGATGATGGACAAGAACAAAGAGAAGGACGTTACTGCTCGAGGGGTGCTCGGAGCCCCAGGGGCCGGCGCGGGTGCGGTTGTTGAGCGGGCCGCACCCGTGTCGTCATCTGACGACCTTGAGGACCGGTTGGTGAGCACCCAGGCCACCGGATCCCTACTTGCTACTGGGGATGGGATCAGGAGGAATAAAACTATTATTATGAACAGCACAACGATAGAGAGTATGGTTACTGCTCCAGGGGATCTCGGTGCCCCAGGAGCCGGTGCAGGTGTGGTGGTAAAGCAGGCCACACCTGCGTCATTATCCGACGACTGCGGGGCCCGCTTGGTGGACCACCAGGACAGCGGTGCCTTAACGGCTACTGGAGAAGGAAGGGGTTGCAATACCCCTTCAGAAGCGGGGCCTGGCCCGTCGGGGCCGGCCCGCCCGATGACGGAGGTGCACCGATGGTGCGCCTCCCTGACGGCCTGGTCAGGTGCTCCAGCTCCAGGAGCATCGACCGGGTCGTCGCCATCAGCGACGACGAGGACGTAGACTCTGACGGGTCTACGATGTCCGCCTCGTCGGTGCGCTTGGGGGGGGCCGGCTCTGGCGCCACGGGCGGCCGGAAGAGGGGGCGGCCCCCTGTCGCTGTTGACAGGGGCGGACTCGCAAAGGCCAAGCGTAAGCTGCTCAAGCTTACGCATAAAGAGCAGGGCCTCCGCGAGGAGGACATTGAGGACCGGGCGGTGCCGCCGCCCCCGGTCTCAAAATC